TGCATAGTGGCCAACTGAGAAACAGACTTTTTATTGGATGGAGGGATGGAACCATCCTCATTTTACCCCCCAAATTCTTGGCATTTCTACCTGGAGCTGCTGCACTGCTCTGAAAGTCATCTAATACCTATTAGAAATACAAAGTGTAAATTGAGAAATTTATTCCCCTTTATCAGGATCCTCACAGCATTTCATTCGTGCCTTCTTCACAGTACTTGCCACTTTCTTTCTTACTAAAGACTCGCTGACATGGAAGGTGTTAATTTTGTACTGAATACATGACTAGGAAAGGCCAAACATACATAAATAAATAATACCAGGTGCCCTTTGTTAAAAGAACTCTAAAGTTAGAGGAGGAAACCAGCAGCAAAACAAACTCCAAAATTCAGCTGACTCACAGCCCCGTGATCATTTGAGGACACCACACTACCTCTTCTAACCACGTGGAAGGCTGAAACGCTTTGAGGGGGAAAAGAGAAACCTGAGCAAATACCCGTAGTCTAGCCAGAGGCTGAAAGTCCTTGTGGTGGCAGGACAAAATCAATCCTCTCCAATTCACAAGAAACTACTGGAAAACAGATGATAATAGTGATAATAATGTAACCATGGTGATAACCGAGAGCATTTATATAGCACTTACTATGTGCCTGGTGCCATTCTAGGGACTATACAGATATTAACTAAGAACCCTCACAACCGTGTTAGGTGGATACTAGTACTATCTCCATTTTTCAGTGTAGTGAGGTAAGTACAGAGAGGTTAGGTAACTTGCCCAAGGTCACCTAAGGGCAACCAGCATTTACTGAGCACCTGCGTGGCGCCAGAACCTGTGCAAGTTCCATTATCTCGTTTAATACTTAAAGCAACCCTAAGATAATTACTATCATTATCACCATTTTCAGATGAAGCCATTGGGGCTCGGGGAAGGTAACTTGTTCCAACAATCTGAGCTCTTAACCAATAGCTGTCGCTACGTGCGGGGCACGCTGATACAGCCTGGGTACGAGGGGACTGGCAGAGACCTGTTCAATCCAGGGCATGGAGTGCCATGGAGTAATCCTCAGTCAGGGCCGCGCCAGGGTCAGACTCAAGTATGATTAGGGACTCTGCCTTTCTATATCTTGGTGCCTCAGCCCGGAGATTTCCGCGCCAAGATAATCCAACACCGTAGGCCGCTACTGCCCCCTGCTGCCCGCCGGACCCTGAGCCCAGGCCCTCTCCCATCTCTGCCCTCCTCAGGGAGAGCCTTGCCCGCCGCTGAGGGAGCCTGGCGGCTCAGGCGCACGGCGGCTCCGGCCCAGGCCCCTCTCAGCGCTACCTGCGGATGCCACAAAACTCCCGGGCCCCCCACACCCAGAAAAAAAATAAAGATGTCAACAGCTTTGCCCTTTCTGCACTCTTCTCCCCGCCCTAATTCCCCTCCTGCATTTCCAGCCTAACACATCCCTACATCCCTTTCCCTGGACTCCGCACCAGGACCGCAGCGCCGGACCCTGGGTTGCCATGGTGATGCGGGGCCAACTACGCGTGCCGGAAGGGGCGGGAGCCTGGGGCTGCCGGCGCGCGCCGGGGCTCCAGGAGGCGCGCAGAAAAAGCCGCGCAGAAAAAGCCGCGCGGGTTCTTTCTGGATCAGGGCCAAGGCAATTCCGTCTTCTAGGAGTCGGGGAATCTTCCAGCCCTCACTAACAGGCTTCAGCCACCGACAAGCAAGAGGAGTAGGGGTCGAGGACTCCCTGGGTTCTACGAATTCCAAGGGTGGTTGGGGCCGCCCCTCACCTGTGGTCCTCGTTTTCCTGCGGTCAGAGCCCGGTAGTCTACGGTTGCTATGGTGATGCGGTGGGTGGAAGAGAGTCCAGTCTCTAGTGGCGGAGGGTCTGCTTCCGGCTTTCCCCCACCCGCCGGTTTAGGACTGTCGGGTAGCGGGGCGCTGCTTCGGCATTCGATAAGCTTCCTGGAGTTTCTGTGACTTTTCCCTCTTGGCTGCTCATCGCAGGGTGAGGGTACTCGAGGGTGAGCTGATCCCTGTCGCTGCAGGACCTTTTGACCTTTTCAAGGCCGCCTAGTTTTCTGTAGCATGGATGTGCCATAATGTATTTAACTAGTCTCCTACTGGGGGACATTAGTTCTGTTTTGTTTTGTTTTTTTAAATCCAATCTTTGTTAGTACAAACAATACTGTAGTAATAACCTTGTATATACCTCTGTGTACATGTGCAATTTTGTCTGTAGAATAAATTTCCAAAAATAAAATTGCTATGTCAAAAGCCAAATGCCATTTTAATTGTCATAGATATGACCAAATTGCTTTCCAAAGGCAGTAGCAAATTTACATCCTCACCAAAACTGGAACCAATAATTTTAATTAGGATCATATCAACAGTGATGAACTGGATACCCAATCATAAAATTGCCCCTGCTTTCTGAAAGCATCCAATCTAGAGCAAAACCCAGTTTCATAAACCTTCCCTCATAAATCATCCAACAAAAGTTAAAATCCTATAATGGTTTCATAAACCTTCCCCCAATCATCCAACAAAAGCTCAAATCCTACAATAATTTCTTTCTAACTTCTTTACTGCATAAATCATAAAAATTCATAAATCATCCAACAAAAGTTAAAATCCTATAATAATTTCTTTCTAACTTCTTTACTGAGGTACCTCATAGTTCCCCCAGGGTGTGTGTTCTCCCTCACTGGAACAAGTAAACTCAACTTGCTCAGCTTTGTGTTCCTGGAAGTCTTTGTGGTCTTTGGCTAGAGGGCATTGATACTAGCAAGTGCAATTTTCTTTGGTAAAATTTTTGGGTCTAGAATTTGTCAATGGCAGTCCTCCATAAATGTTTAAGAAAGAACACACTTTACATGGACAGTCTATTTTACTTTGATTATTTCAGTTAGATCTGATTGTTCCCAGCTTTTGCAATTTTCAATGTTACCCTCAAGATATGAGTTTCCTGGGTTTTTTTTTTTTTAAATAACAACTTTAACCATTTTAGTTTTATTTTGTAATAATTTTTTCTACCAGCGGTAGTCGTCATGACTCAAACAGAAGATTGATAAGTTTTATCTACTTCTAGACTTCAAAAACCATCATTAGGACAATGGGGTAGGACCTGGATACACAGCAAAGTAAAAATGTTCTTTTTCAATCGGCAGGCTTACTATGTTGCCACCATGTCCTTGGCACTGGGAACACAGACCCTGCTGTGAAGGTATTATCGGTCTAATTAGACATAGGGGCTTGCTGACCTCATAGAGGAAATAGCTGAATACAAAATGTTTATTCATTCGGTAAATATTTATACCTACTCCATGCCAAGAACTGGGCTGGGCATTGGGGATGCAGGGATGACCAAGTTCCATGTGGCCCCTGGCCTCCTGGAGCTCTCAGCCCAGTGGGAGAGGTACATATTAAACAATCACATCAATGACTATTCGTGTGTGATGACTGACTGCTACAAAGAAAACCCCAGGGTTTTATGAGAAGCTGGGACAATGGCAACCTGACCAGTGGGGTTCAAGGAAGGATTCTTTGAAATAGTGATTTTTAATTGGAGATGTGAAGGATGAGTTGGAAGGATATTCCTGGCAGAGGGAACAACCCATGCCCAGAAGTGAGAAGAGGGTTGGCTCTTTCAAGGGCAGGAAAGCAAGCCAGCGTGGCTGGGATAAAGAGGACTGGGGAAGGAGTTTGGTCTTGTCCACTATACTAAGAGTTTACATTGTAACCTGAAAGCAGCAAGCCTAGGAAGAGTATCAAGAGGTGTATGTGATTAGATTAGAAATACCTTTTTTTTTTTTTTTTTACAATGTCTGTGTGGAGAATGGATGAGGTGGGGTAAGGATAATAAATGCCATGAAACCAATTAGAAGGAGACTATTACAGTTGTCCTAAGGGAGCAAAGAGTATAATTGGGCCCGGTGGTATTCAGAGGAGGGAAATATTTAGTGGAGTGTTGAGGTGGTATGAGATTGGTGTGGACTGGGGAGTGTGTGAAATGAAAAATACTGAAATGACCTTGTTATAAACTGAATTGTATCCTCCTCCAGTTCATCTGTTGGAGTCCTAATCCTCAATACTTTATAATGTGACTGTATTTGGAGATAGGGTCTGTATAGAGGTAATTAAGGTTAAATGGGGTAATCTGGGTGGGCCCTAATCCCCTATGACCAGTGTTCTTATAAAAAGTGAAAGAAACACCAGGGATGCAGAGCAAAGACCATGTGAGGACTCAGTGAGAAGGCAGCCATCTGTAAGCCAAAGAGAGAGGCCTCGGGAGACACCAAGCCTGCCCGCGCTCCTCCCTGGGACTTCTAGTCTTCAGAGTTGTAAGAAGATTATTATTTTTTGTTTAAGCCACCAAATCTGTGGTACTTTGTTATGGCAGCTCTAGCACATTAATACAAACCCCAAATTTCTACATAATAGGGCCATTGGGAAATAATTATAGTGCATCCATATTATGAAAAAGAATTTTACCCCAAGATATGCCCGTGCAAGTTCAAGATTTTGGTGGCCTAGTCAGTGCAGGTTGTAGTTAAGTTTGTTGCTTTATAGTTGTGACAATCCCAGGCATCACTTGCATTGTTTCCTTTGTCTCTATTATTCTATTTTTTTTAAATTTCATAACTTTGAGATTCATAGACATGTTTTGTTTATAAACTCTTGCAGTAATTGTGTTCCATCAGTTTACATAGTGATTATCTTTTCTACTTATGAAAATTTACCCTATGGATTTTTTAAGGAACATACTAACCTTGTAATGAAGGGGAATATTATTCCATGCAAAGATTTAAAAGAATAAAGCAGAGAAAAATGAGGTAGAACTCTATATTCTGACATGAAAAGATGCCTAAACTATATGGTTAAGAGGGAAAATGTATGTAAATTGTGAACCTATTTTGTTTTTTAATAGAACCATTTGTTAGGGATGCTTAGGAAAAAGTATGGAAGCATATGCATCCAACTTTTAAAAGATTGTAAAAATTCTACCATTTAAAGATCTGAGTTCTGTCAAATAAACCCTGTTGGTGATTTCCTGTACCAGGGAAACTGTAGTACATGGTTATATGCTCAAGGCCAATAATGACTAACAGAGCCACAGGCCCCCACAATGGTACTGTCATGGCTACCTTCCATGACCCATGACGAAAGGTGGCCTTCAGGGTCAAACCACATAGCAAATACTAATACAGTAATCCCTTTTTATTCACAGTTTCATTTTTTGTGATTTCATTTACCCATGGTCAACCACAGTCCAAAAATATTAAATGAAAAATTCCAGAAATAAATAATTCATAAGTTTTAAGTGTGTACCATTGTGAGCAGCATGATGAAATCTTGAGCTGTCCGGCCCAGGATGTGATTCATTCCTTTGTTCAGTGTCTTCACACTGTGCTCCCCATCTGTTAGTCATCTAATAGCCATCTCCGTTATCAGATTGACCGTCGTGGTGTCCTGGTGCTTGTGTTCAGGTAACACTTATAGTAGCCTAACCCACAATGCCTATGTCATTCACCTCACTTCATCTCATCACGTAGGCATTTTTCCATCACATATCACAAGAAGAAGGGTGAGTACAGTATAATATATTTGGAGAATGAGACCACATTCACAGAACTTTTATTATAGTATATTGTTATAATGTTCTATTTATTATTGTTGTTAATCTCTTATTGTGCCTAATTTATAAATTAAACTTTATCATATATAGGAAAAAACATAAGGTTCAGGCATCCACTGGGGATCTTATAACATATCTCCTGTGGATAAGGGGGAATTACTGTAAACTTAATGTCCATCCTATTTTAAAATAAACATAGCCATTAATACAAATCCTAATAGTCTCTTCTCCCACCCCAAGTGATCATCTTTTACCCTCTGTGTACTCTACTTGAGAGAACACCAGTGTTTTTCTAATTATACATATGGAACACTCTACAAATGTCTTCCCATCATAACTAATTGCATAAACGTACTGATCTAATGAATCACTATTCACCCACATCATGGGTGAATAGTGATTCATTAGATCAGTACGTTTATGCAATTAGAATACCATTTTGCACATAAAACATCTGTATATGATGGTTCTGAGGAAGAAGGCACCAACACTACCACGTATTTGTTTTCTTAGCTGAGAAAAGAGAGAGATGGACTTCGATGGTCTCGCGGAAGCCTTCACACTGGCTTTCTGGACTTCTCTAAGCCTTTGATTAAGCAGTCGAAGTGGCTATACTGGAATGAAGTGGTGCCCTAGAAGGGAACTGTGTCTGGGGTAACCACTCAACAGTGTAATATGTGGCAGTCTTTGAAATAAAGGTATTTAAAGTCATTTCGTGCAATTCTGTGTAGTTCTTCTATAAGTCTGGTTTTTTTCAAACTCAAATTTAATGTAAGAACTTAACCATCCTCTCATAATACATCAAAATACTATTTTTCAGGCTTTTCACTACTACTGATGGAGGTGAAGTATCCAGAAAGAAGTTTAAGCTAAATGCTAAGTTCTGTTACCAAGTGGAGAAATGAAGATTGCACATTGCCAAAGTGATTGTGTACATTTTGGAGAAATTATTTTGTTTATCAAAATGAAATTCACAGAACTTTTAAGCCAAAAGTGCACAAATGGTCAAAATGGCATTGAATTAGAAAAAGTTAATGAATCAATAGAACAATCTATTGAAACCCTCTGTGGTAGGGTTGGTGAAGGAAGCATAATGCTTCTGGCTGACATTTACTTTGACATTTATTGTACTATGTGACAGGCTGAACCAGACCAAAGGATAGGTTATCTGAGCAGCTGCCCAAGGCACTAATCCATAAGCAGCATTAAAACATCAAGGGAACAGATGGGAAATACAGTGCCAGTTACTTGAGAATTTCACACAGGAGTCTTTCAGAGTTGGCGCACTGTTACGTGGTCCCATTCTCATAGATAATAGGCAGCATGGGATGGGGTGGTGGGGCTTTAGATCAAATTAAGGAGGAGACTTTCAAGCAAGGACTACCTGAAGGTGAAGAAAGAACCAGCCTCATGGGATCCAAGAGAAGAATGTTCCAGGCAGAGGGACAGTGAGTGCAAACACCCTGGTCCCAGGGGCTTAGGAAAGAGAAGGGAGCAAAAGAGCCTTGGAGGGAGGTGTCAGTGGGGTTGGGAGGTAGTCAGGTGCCATGGGAAAGA